GTCATTTTTAAACTAAAGCCAATATATTCTTGTCCTTCCATTCCTTTTTGCCTCTAATATTTGATTTGCATCTTTTTAAACCCAATTCAGGCTTCATGACTAATGAAGTTCGTGTAGAGGAATAGGCACTTGCATATATGGAATGCTTAGATGGTCGGCGTTCGAAAAAATTGACGTAACTTTTGCATACGGTATCTGTTTTGAACCCAAAACCTTCTGGATGAACGCACGGCTTTGCCATAGTGTATGATGGATTTTGACCGTTTGAATTCGTTTACTAGATCAAAACGGCATTTAAAGTTTCTTAGTTAATTATTTTCAATATTTGTTATTTTCGCTTTGTAGCTCAAGCCATTAAGGGACTGCTGATCCAGTAGGTTATCTGTTCTTTTCGTATTTAAGACTCTAAAACGTCTCCTAGGTTTTTTTGATTGTTCATGAAATAAGAAAATGTTGGTTTCCTGAGTTCATTCCGCTTGAGTTGCTAGTATCGTATGTTTGTAGATTCGATCTACATCAATAACTTTAGAAATTACGACGTGGTTAACCCAACTCCATGTTGATTAGCTTTATCAATTCATGTCTCATAAAAAGGTTGACTATGAGCTTAGTCGTTTATTCATTAAACATCAATGTCATGTTGAGTGAAAGTCCTTATATTTGCGTGACACATAAACTGTGAGCCGTAAAATACAAATGTAAATATGCAGTGTTCATTGGTAATCTTTTGCTAAGTGAACTAACATGGGATCGTTCCACGCGTAGGAATACAGTGTGCAATTTTAACTTACAGTATGACTCCTATTCAGATTTGGGGTTTCATCTTAAAAGTTTAACCTCGTTAAGAGGAGTAGCCAAAAAACTTCTAAATTGGTATATGTTTCCATCTTTAATCGATGTGGGATATCATCTCTGAAAATATAGACCAATTTATAAGGTATTGAACTACTTTTCTTAACAAAGTTGACCTTTTGAGATGGAACCCCAAATCTTAATATAGTATCAGAGCCTATTAAATTTCAACGAGCGATTCGATCTGATTAAGACTCAATAAATGAGTATACAAATTTCAAAATTGGTCTGCTTAAACGAGCCACCATCTTGCGCGGGCATATTGAGGGATAAAATTTCACATCGAATAAAAATAAAAACATAGACTAACTTATAAGGTATTGTGTTACTCATCTTAACAAGATTGATCTTTTAATATGGAACTCCAAGTCTTAACATGGTATCAGAACTCATTAAACTTCAACTAGCAATTCAATATGAATAAAATCAATAAAAGAGCATATGAATTTCAAAATTAGTCTGCTCAAACAAGTCACCATCTTGTGATGATATGCTAAAGGATAAAATTCCACATCAAATAAAGATAAAAACATGTACTAACTTATAAAGTTTTAGGCTATTCCTCTAAATAAGGTTGACATTTTAAAATGGAATCTCGAATCTTAACATGGTATCAGAGCTCATTAACCTCTAACGAACTATTCGATCCAATTAAGACTCAAAATAAATGAGCATACAAATTTTAAAATTAGTCTATTCAAACGAGCCACCATCCTGCGAGGGCATATTAAAGGATAGAATCTCAAATCAAATAAGGATGAAAACATATATCAACTTATAAAGTCTCGAACTACACCTCTTAATAAGGTTAACCTTTTAAAATGGATCCCAAGTCTTAACAACTCCATTGCTTAGACCTCAAATTCTAAGTTCGATCAACCGAGCGTAGGAAATGAATCAAAAATTGTTGCATCTGCAATGGAACATTATTCACATTTGCCTCTTTTAGTTTTAGGAAGAGAATAACTTATTATTGTGTTCCATTGCTTACGAAGAAAGATGATTGTGTTTCATGTTTGGACATGAAATGCTAATCCTATGCGAATAAGAATGAATCATGTACTAGAAACCAGGTTAGAACTAGTTACACGAGGATTTTCAGTTATATGCTCTACCAGTTGAGCTACCATTCTCAATGTAACATCAGATCCTCATTTTATTAGATGATTGTGCCTATGTCAATTAAAAGGGCAAGGGAAATTACAAAATTTTCTCCGAGACCTGAAATTTCTTAGATCTTAAAAAAGACAGACTTTGTAGTATGAGTAATAATATTGATTGTGAATAGTTCAAATGGAGATTCCTTGCTTTTGTTATTTATTATGTTTTAATGGTTATACGATATAAATGAAACATTTAACGATAAAATTTGCATTCTAATTTAGGATTCAAGTTTTATACCTTGCAATAGGAACCATGACAATTCACAGCACTCCATGATCCTGACGCTCACGTCGAACTAGCTTTGCACTAACATCTGAGTAGTCCCAGACAAACACTATTATGTTGTAATGCCCCGAAAATTTTAGAATAAAATTTATTTATTTTATATATTATATATTTACATTTTTTTAAGTTGAGGACTAGAATGAAAAATGTTTTAAATTCCTATTTCATTTGATCCAAATAATTAGATATTGTTAGAGCGAGATTTAGTATGTCGATATTGGACTCATTTTATAAGTCGTAATTAATTAGAAGTCTTTGATTCAAGAAAAAGTTATTTTCGACAAGAACACATTAAGTTAGACTCAATTGAAAGAAAATAAGATAAATAGAACTTTATTTAAACTATAATTCAATTCATTTTCTCTCTCCAAAGACGTGTGGGTGGGTATTGAATTTTAATATTATTTTTAGTTTAATTTTAACATATTTTGAATTTAATGTGATAGCGAGTATCCTATTTGGATAACTATGAATTTATTATTGGGAAAATTGAAGTCGAGGTACCAAACCTTTCGTTTATTAGCAGATTTTGTCCAAACCTTTAGTTTGTACCACCCACAGTCCTAAACCTTTCAAAAATATGCATCTGGGGTCCAAATGGATGGATCCATTTGACCGTTAATTGACCATGAAAAGTAAATGTTGACCTATTTTGACTAAATTGAAAATGATAAAATGGTAACTTGATAATTACCATATTAAATAAGTTGAAAAAAAATCAAAAAATAAAAAATCTAAGAAAAAAATTAAAAAAGGGGTTGTCTTCTTCAACCACCCCACCCCACTCCACCCATCTTTTTCCCAGCACCACTGCCTGCCACCAAAAGAGCTGGAGATTCACAATGACTCTCAAGTCGTACATGCACCACGTTACACTACAAAAAATCTTATTGGGTAACAATGGAAATCCCCACAGGCACGAAACCCAGAAGCTAAAGTCTTCTGTCTCATTTCTCCGTCGTCAGATCCTCCCCCTCTCCACTCTCAAATTCAGCAGCCAATCCTCGCTCAGTTCTCCCTCTCCTAGTGCGCAAAATACAAATCCACTCGAATAACACAGGTACCCTTAACCAACCCCCTTTATATACATATTTTTATTTATATATTGGTATATGATGAAATCCAACTTTTCAGTGTAACAGTGTAAATTTCTTGGTTTTGTTTAAATCCATTGTTGATCACTTTCTGTTGGCAATTTTTACTGGAATTTAGTAGTTATTGAGCTAGGGTTTTGTTTTTTGTGAAAGGATGGCGGATAGTCCCGGTGGCAGTGGGAGTCACGAGAGCGGCGACGGCGGTGGCGGTGGTGCTGGGAAAAAGATGGGGGTGGGGTGGTTGAAGAAGACAACCCTTTTTTTTAATTTTTTTTCTTAGATTTTTTATTTTTTGATTTTTTTCAATTTATTTAATATGGTAATTATTAAGTTACCATTTTATCCTTTCCAGTTTAGTCAAAATAGGTCAACATTTACTTTTCTTGGTCAATTAACGGTCATCCGTCCATTTGGACCCCCGATGCATATTTTTGAAAGGTTTGAAACTGTGGGGGCACAAACTAAAGGTTTGGGCCAAATTTGTTAATAAATGAAATGTTTGGTACATCGGCTGCAATTTTCCCTTTATTATTAAAATATAATCCAAATACCTAAATCAGGTTTTATCCAATAGGGTACATGTTTTCTAATATAACTCAACCACTTTTTATTACTATAAATACTATACATGGATTCCATAATTCACACACCAAAAGTTATACACAGTAAGAGAGAAAAAGAGAGAGAGAGAGAGAGAGAGAGAGAGAGAGAGAGAGAGAGGGTACTTTTGGGAACTAGAAGATAAGAACCCATTTTGTAATTCTTAAATAAACGAGGTAAGATACATATGTGCAAGTTATTTTCGTTTTTATATGCTTTTATATGCAATTAAATATGCATGGATTGTTAGTGGATTTTCGGGTTCTATAAAAAAATAAATAAAATCCTTCGAGATATAAGAGGACTTAAGATGGGTGTATCGCTTGGTCACCGATATACCCCATAAGAGAAGAGCGGTATGAAATATAGATTTTATTGTTATATATCTGTATATAAAAACTGCACGTATCTTACTCGGAGTTTTCAAATACTCGCTCTTACAATTTTTTTACAGATTAGTTCGGATCGATTGAAATTGTAGCAGGATGGTGATGCGGACTGCCAATTGAATCGAAGAAAGGAAAAAGAAATTTAACATTTAATTTGTTCTTTTTTATGTCTTTAAATTATTTGTTAGTTTTATTTGTTTAAAGACTCGTTTGTTTATTTTAAATTGATATTTATGGTTGAAAATAAAGAATTTTCTTTATTGAAAAATCGTTCCGCAATTATTATAAAGGAAATTGAGTTTTTCGTAACACTCCAGCGTTTATAAAATTTGGGGTGTTACATATGTGGCATCACTATTCGCACCATTCGATTGCAACCGAAAGACATGGTATCTACTCTAATACCATTGTTACACATCTCAGGAGAACCATAGCTTTTGAAGTATGGCTCTCTCAAAATCTGTAACAAGTGGCTTCACTGTAGAAATCATTAATCGTCGCATTGTCATTGTGGAAAGTAGAGTGGAAAATTATATTTCATAAACTATTAGTATAACTCGAATTCTTTCAAGCAAAACGACTTGTGGAGGAGTACATCAAAAAATAATAATAATAATAATAAAAAAATAGTCTCTTTTCACTTTACCTCGAACCTGTAAATTAATTTGATTTTCGTAAAAGTAATGAAACAAACTATACAATCACTATAAGAAGAAAATAATTATATTACCATAAACATGATACACTAATCATAATCTTGTAATTCTTGTTGCTTTTGGGGGTCTTGTTTTCTGCAAGGAAAAGCAGCTTTTCTTGATTTTCTTTCTTTTCCCTTTGTTGCTTGTCCATTTGTCCTCTTTTCTTTCTTATTTTTCCAACTGTGATAGTTGCACAGTTAGTTCTGCAGAGCTTATGACCTTAGCCAGACATAGACAGGAAAATTAGATCGATGGAAAAAAGGTAAAACTATATATATATACATATATGTATGTGTGTATATATATAGATATGGTCCATCAGCACTTTGGAGAAAGCTTCGAGTACTAATGATTCTGTCTCTGTGGGGAAATTTTTTTGAATCTTAGCTTCTATGTTTTATTTCTACCCATGATGATCCGGGTTGTCAGGGTCATGCCAGAAGGTGGAATACTTCAACCATTCTGATTCTTGTGGATTTGTAATGGATGAATCCTGAAATAACAATATCAACATGTGCACAAAGGGTAAGAGTTGTCGAAAACAAATTTTTAATTGATTTTTTTTTTCACTTTCTAAAAGCTTATATATAAAATAAAAACAAAAAATTTTTGGGGGCTCTCACTGAAGTGGGGCCTTAGACGATCGCATATTTCGTCTATAGTCAGGGCCGACACTGTTCTTGAGATGAGGTTATTCAATATGTCATCACAACAAACCAAGGTTTTACATACAAGTCTAATCGTCACTCATTTGTGAAATGTTGTGTGATCCAAGATTTCGAATAGAAAATGTTGGTACACACTCAAGACATGTTGAAGATGGACTCAAAATAAAATGAGTTTGTTCAACAAGAACTTATGAGTATTGGAAAATGATCTTTTCTATGAGACCACACATGGGAAAAAAAAATGTTGGAATAACTAGCTTTCTCTCTTTTGCTTTTCCTAATTCAAATAATTTTCATTGTTGAGTTTCTTTTTGCGTTTGAATAGTAATTAATAGCCAAATGACATTATAGGATATAACTTCCTATGGTCTTTATATTATTATTTTGGGTTGGTTGTTAAAATTATGTTCTTATTAGTAATATTTCAAATTAATAGCTCCATATCTTAACTTTAGTTTTTCAAAAGTAGAAGAAAGGAGGATTCTTGTTACGGCTTCCACAATTGATGGACAAAAAGAAAAAAAATAAAAAACTGAAAGAAAGAACATGAAGAGAAAAAACTAGCAAGCATCTTCTTCCTTTGCTAACAAGTCTTGTGGCATGTTTGGTGATTCTATAGTAAGAAACAAAAAGTAATTAAAATTTTCTTTATTTTATTGGGACATTATCAATCTTGTCCTCTATGCCAAACATAACATCTTGTTCGTTAAAGTTAACCTAAATGCACTAGGCACCCCTATATACATACTGAAACAGCTGCAAATTCACTATATTGATCGAGCAAGCAATGCAACTTATCTCATTTACTTTTTCACAGTTAAGAGATTATATTTAAACTAAAGGAAAAAGGTTCTAATAACTGCTATCTTTAGGTTTTTTATTCCAAACTAAATTTGACTAACTATAATATACATCTTCCTTTTGTGTTTCTTATCACGATTTTGGAGAAAAAAAAATGCTTGTTTTCGTGTCTTATCCTTTTCAATCCTTAGTTACCTTTACTTTTTCTACGTCTCAGAAAACAATTTTACCCGAAACAGTAATTTGCTTCTGGATTATAAATTAAGTTTATACTTACTTCCTTGAAGTGATCAGTTGAAGTGCAGCCCATAATGACTTCCTCCAATCCTGATGCAGACCTTCTTCCGAGTTTATGATGTTGCTGCTAAAAAATATGTAATCATTTAGAACAAAATAAAACATAATCATCTTTAAGATTATGCATTGTCTGTAAAAGACAAGTATGAAAGGAAAATATAATTACTTGTTTGCAACATAGAAGTAAGCAATGCCAAAACAATACAATACACAAGATTTTAAAGTCTCTCTCTCTCTCTCTCTTTTTCCTGTCAAATCCTTCCTACTGAATATAACATTAGGATCTTAGGCGTAATCACTATATTACAACTGGGAGTGGTTTATTGAAAATGTTGGATTTGCTTAAACGCCAAAAAAGCAACTTTTTGGCTATTTTCGACAGCTTGGAAGGTCAAACTGCCGAGATAGATAGAAAGAATCGTTTAGGAAAAGCAAAAGACTCTAAAATGTGATTACATTTCCAGCAACAAACAAAGCCTCATTCGAAATAAATTTGGAATCAACCTCATACACCATCCGTGTGGACCTCATATGAACCACGTGAATGACCCGACCAAGAATCATCATGTATAATGCTATTTAAGATTAGATGGAAAATGCTACTTGTATAGATTTTTTTAATAGTTGGGATTACAGGTGTTGAGCTGACAAGATTTCAGAGGCATGTTTAACTTTCTTATTTGTCCAAGGTGGTGTGAAATCTTGCCAACTCAGTATTCTGTAAACCAAGTGGTAAACCAGCTTTGGACAAGTAGCATTTTCCAATTATATTTGTTTCAAAGGTTCAAGAAAATGTTAAGTTTACATGGTTTAACTACCTGAAAATTTTGATTTTGGAGAATCGTTCTAGGGACATGGAAGGAGTCCTCATCAAGAATGATAGAGGTATGATGATGTAGAGGTGGTGGAGAAATTATGGCGGATATAGAGAGTGAAGGCCTGCTGATGTGGTATGCTGCGGTTGCAATCTGGTGTTGCTCATGAGCCTCATTGGTCACGTGAGGTGGCGGCATTTGATGCTCATCGCACGTGCCTGCAGCTGAAACTTCGCTTGCAATTGAAGCTTCTCCAATCCCAGCCTGCAACAAATTAATAATCCATAAACAGTTTGCTAGCTGGCTAGTCCCTTGTCATGGCTCTTTTTAATATTCTGTGCCTTTTTCTTTTAATCTTTTCTTTTCTCTTTCTTTTTTCTTAATGTTCATTCAAAAAAATAAAAAAATAAAAAAATTTCGATTTTACTTTTCTAATTTTCTCTTTTCTGGTAGGTGAACTGCTTAGTTTTTTAATTAGATGAGTGTTATTATCAAGCAAATCCAATATCATTTTCAGGCTTTATGTACAAGCATCCATATGTGAAAAGCAATTTTTTGCGCTGATTTTGGTATTGCATGCATGCATTACTTGCTTGAAATTATAAGTCAATTGCTTATAATTTTGTTCTAAACTCTGCATAGAATACAACACGTTGGATACATATCATATAGCAGCAAGAATGTTCACTTTAATTGTGAAAAATATTGAATACAGTAACAAAATTCACTTAATAGGAATTTTCGTAAAGTAATTTATGATTAAACTACTTAAAATCTAGATTAATTTTGTATCACGAGTCCTACCTAGTAATTTTTTATAAGTTATATAATTTAAAATGTGTGAGCAATTAATTGCATTTTTAAATAGAGATTATCGACATATATTCAGATAAATACCTCGTCAAAGGGTTTTCTAAATGGAAGGAAGCTGAAATGGTCTGCTTTCAGTTGTTGGATATCTAATGTACCATAGCCAGACATAGGAGAGGTAGCAGTGCCGCCACCGCCCCCGCCACCATCACCACCACTGCCGCCACAGAATTCATCTGGAGGAGGGATTATTTCCTTAGAAAAGCGGATCACAGGACTGTCACTATTCCTATTTGGATGACTGCTAGTTGCTAATTCAACGGCATTATTCGTGCTATTCTTTTCGGACCAATTGCATTGCCTTGGTTGAGTCTGATAAAATATCTTGGAAACCACAAGTTCACCTTCTTTTTCTTCTTCATTTTGGCCGATGTGGTATTGATGCATCACCCAATTTGTTTTTTCAGGTTTTCTATTTTTCCCAAAATTTGTGTATAAAACCAAAATTTTCTTGCATCCCTTTTGGTTTCCATTAACCATGATTGGCCTGGTTTTGCCTGTCTTGTGCCACCGGGTTTCTCCCCCCTGTAAGTCGCATTCGGTTTGAATTTTTCGTCTTTTTCTCGTACCAGTGGTGTAAGCCTTTGACGGTCTATGGAAGAAATGCCTACTCAATCCATCCCTTGTTACACCTGAAAGAACAATGCAAAATTTAGTATATTTAGTTGCTTTCAAATCAAAGTGCACTATAGGAGCTAGTCGTTAGAAGTGAACTTCCGGGCAAAAAGGAACTGAACGAGCGCCTAGTGCGAGATTTACTGGAAACTAAACCAAGAATGGAGAGAGTTTAAAGTTCAAAAAATAATAATAGAAAAAATAACTAAATAAAATTTCAAAGTTAGGTTTACTTAGGTGCAACAAACTAAGAGACTTTAATTAAATTTCTTGAAATAGCAAGGGAAAAAAAAACATTTGACAATAAAACAAACCCTAGAATCCTTCTAGTTGTATTTTGCAAGCAAGAAAGTGTATTACCTAACTCCTTGAATTAAGTAAAAGTAATTTCACGTACACACGCACATTACACACAGCGAAAGTGTATTTCTGATACCTGGAAGCTTTTCTGGGTGAGTATAGCAAATCCCATCATCGCCTTCAATTGTAGAGATGAACTCATCAATCAATGGATGAGACTGAGATTCTTTGCCTTCTACTTTTGCTTCAAGGTGCTCTATCAATTCTTGGTCTGTTGGATCAAATTTTACTCCTGCTGGTAGACCAAACCAATTCTGCAGATGATTCAAAAATCAACTTAATAAAACAAAAAAAAGGAAAATAAATTAAAAACGTACTTAATTATTCTTTGATTAATAAAAAGTCGTACTGGCTTCCCTTCGAGCTTTTGGCCGCATCCAGGACACTGCTTGGATCCACATAATCGATGCTCCTCAATCTTCGAATCAATGAGATCAGAACTGCTGATGGATCCCAACTGAGACTTATTCATGGCTCTTCAAACGTGCTTTTTATTTGGTATCAACTTGGCTGACAAACTTCCATAAGAAACCTTACCTTGGACGAAATCTTCTTATGTTGTCTGAATTGAAGTCTCTACAGTTGATATATACACATGTATTCTGTGGACTAAATGAACAAAGAAAATACTAATTCATATGTATACAAGCAGAAATTCTTGAAATTAATCACAAAATTGAGCAAGTAAAACCTTAATAGTTTTTAATATGTAAAGAAATACCCATAATACAGATTCGTTTTATAAACAAAAAAAAAATAATAATAATAATAATAAATCAGTGAGTCCACAAGAAATCAAGACTGGAAATTCAAATATTTTTCAAGAAAAATGAACTGGTGAGGGATAGAGAGAGTAGGGGATACAAGATAGAGAGAGAGAGAGAGAGGAAAAAAGAGGAAATTATGAAGGTGGAAGAGAGGTATAAAACCTGCTTTAGCTATGAAAAAACAGCAGAATTCCCTCTACACTTTAACGGAAGCCAGTGAGATAAAGAAAAAGGTGTCACATACGCTATATACAGACTCTTTCCTAATTTAAGAACACCATATACACGGGTTCTCTCTCTCTAGAGATAGAGAGATGATAAATATATAACATATACATATAGAGAGAGAGAGAGAGAGAGAGAGAGGATTTTTGTAAAGCTCATGGGCAGCCACGCCTTTGTTCTGAGTATCCTTGACTGGTAAAGCAAAAGCCAGGAAACAGCCTCTTCACCTGTTACTGTTTCATATACTTAAATAACCCAAGCATACCATCTAATACAAAACCATATATATTCTTAGTATTTTCTTACTAAAAAGTTGACATGAATTTCAATAAAGCTACATCTTCAAATATCTGGACAAAATTAAGAATATATATGATCTTGACCAAAAATGAACTTAGAAATTAATATTTATTTCTCCATACAGACAAGTATAAACAAATAAATTATTTTAACAATTTAAATTACGGTACTTTAACATTTATTATTATATACATGAGAAAAAGTAAAGATAATATCTTTTTTATTTTTTACATAAATGATCCAATACTAATCTCAGTCCTAGTAATTTGGCAAATTACTGAGAAAAAAATAAAATAAAATAAAAGGAATGATATTTTATAATATAAAATAAAATAACCAAACAACCCAGCAGCCCACTCCCATAAAAAAGGGGACAAATATAGAAACGAAAGAAAGAAAGAAACTTAAAAATTGATCAGAACTCACATGAGGACTGATCATGACAAAGAAGGAGGGGTGGGGGACAATGTTGCTTGATATGCAAGGCAATTGAGCAGTATACTTGATGGACAACCACCATATCTATTCTATATTAAATCTTATATTTTTCAATATAAATATTAAACAAATTAGTCAACACCAAAAACTCAAATAAATTAATCTGTTAAGAATTCAGACGGGTTTGTTTATATCCACGATGTAATTAATTCACTGTTAAAAACCGCAGCGAGGTTAGCCATAGAAAAATTCCCTCAATATCATCCAAAATTCTAAATTTTATCCTACAAAATAAAATTTACAGCCGGTAATTTTCTCGTCGCTCTCTCAATTCTCGAATGATTGAGCGATGGTTCATCAATGATCACTAATAAAAACGTCTTCTAATTTCTGGAAGTAATTTGGAAATATTTTATTTTATATATTTCATAGTACTCGTAAACAAATATTTATAAAAAATGAAAGAAATGTATATTAGACCCTACAATGTATATAAAATATATGTAAACTCCTAGACATTTTTTTTAACCACTATATGTGACATGTATTATGAATGACAAAGATGAAATATGGTACAATCCTTTCTCAGAGGAAGTTAGTATTGATCTCCAATTATAGGTTCATAAAATATTTTTTTCCGTCCATAGACAGAAGTAAAATGTTAGGGTTCATTTGATTGCAAAAATAGAATTTGAGTGGAAAGAAAACGAATTTCAGACAATCGAATTGCCTAGAACTTATTTTACTGAAAATTGTCAATTAAGCCCGGTTTGTTTTCCATTCTTTTCTCATTAAAATGAAAAATATAACTGTTATACATCACATAAAGTCACAAAATTTGAATTTTTATCTCTTATGTGGAACCGTAACGACTATATTTTTCATTCTTATTCTTCAAAAAATGGGAAACAAATGGGACCTAAATGTGTTTAATTGATATAATTTTTCACCTGAAAATGTTGAAATTTTGGATCTTTTGATGTTCGTTTAATTTTTTTTTTATGAAAATTGTTAATTAAAAGGATAGAATTTGTTGCAATTGTGGATAGAATTTATTTCCATTGTCAAACAAAAAAAATGGAAAATCCAATTTTCACCAAAACCAAAAGAAAATCAATTCCTTAAAACCATGGAAAAAGGGGGTCACGTGGGAGGAAGGTGAAAAACCAATTCCATAGAAAAGTTCGCCTATCAAACAGGCCCTTAGAGATAAAATAACTACAAATTAGTCATCTTAATCATACTCATTATCATCATACGTCATTGAATGTAATGTCTCGTGGTCACATTCTAACTCGCAACTCGAGGAAAATTCATTACTCGACGCTTATACATGCATGTTTGTAACAGTCAAAATATTGTCAAAAGTACAAATAGTTACAGGTATATTGTTCTTTATTTCAAAATATGGAGAGTTATTACAGGATCGACCTTGAGAAAACAAAAATTAATTATTTTAATTTGTTTTCCAATTTATGGCTTTTTCGAGGAAAAGTTTCCTATTAGTCAAAAAAATATATTGTTGACCTTCTCAACCTAGAGTGAGAAAAACTGGATCCAATTTTTATTTATTTTGTTCATTTCGGAAAATTAGTCAACCTTGAACGTGCATTGCACGTTATTATGAAATACTTTATAAGTATTGTAAAAGTAATATTGGAATAGGACAAAATTACTTTGCCCGAAGGAATTGACAGAAAGATTGATATAATTGCATGTGACAGTAGATAATTGAATGAAAAAGCTGACTGTGTGTTTTAACTGTCTAATGATTAAATGTCACGTGATATTATGTCAAACTTTACATAGACCTTGATGTTACCGTAACATGATTGATTTGATTATACGTAAATGTTAATTAATTTATAATTAATATTAGAAAATATATACGTGACAATGAATGTTAAATCATTTATTTAATTTTCAATTAAGTAAAATTAGATGTTAATTAGCATACATAGACATGAAAATAAAATGCATTCTTGAACATGAAATTCTAATTAGCTTATAATTAAAATTAATAACACTGAAATGCATAAATGAATGAATGTAATGTTAATTAATTGAAAATTAATAACAAGGAATTCATACATTAATGAAAGCACACACGTGAAATGAATATGTCAAAAGTACATATACATTGATGGTTTAAGAATTAATAATACGTAACCCATACATTAACGAAAGCACGCATGTACATTGATAGTAACTAAATGATTAAATAAATTAAATACATATTGAAAACAAAAAGTAAAGTATTATTGAAATAATTGAATTATAATAGGACTAAAATTGTTCAAAAATTTATTCTCATTTAATGTGATATTTAATATATTATTAATTAGGGTATTAACTCACCTAATAATCCCTCTTTTAGGTTTTACAAATGACGCTCAAAATCTCAAGACCGGCTTGAATTATTGGTGCTAAAGGCATATGAAAATTATATAGAGAATATAGATGTGTGACAATCACGTAGAATAGTAAAATAGACAAATGATTATTTTTTCTATTAGCTGGTAAAATTGGGTAAAAATACAGATAAATTGAATTGTATATTCAAGGTCTAGTAACTAATCATTTTTTTTTTTTTCAAATAATTTGACTATAAGCGCGCCAACAACCTAACTTGCATTGAAATTTCGAATGTAGATTTTTTGTTTTGGATACTTTTCAGATATAAATATTCAGGAAAAAAGTTTCTCATATTTTCAAAATCTTTCCTATTTTATATTTATTAATAAAACTTGAAAACAGTTAATTACCCAAAACTTTTTTATCAATAAATTACATTTGATTAGCAACTGCTCTTCATTGAGATTTGTTGGAACCTTCAATCTAGAATTAACTGAGCCTGTGTTTGCTTTCTTAAAAGGAAATTTATACTTTTTAGCCAAATTTTAACTTTAATCACATATTCACAATTGTTACCTAGTTATTATTCACACACACTTTGTGGCCCAGAATAGAAGAACTTGCCTCGCCCATGAATAAATATTTCATAGTAGTCTCAAATAGAAAATGATACTCTGAATTATAAAACTATAATGAAATATACGATCAACCAACATACCTATCGTAATAATAAATGACTCATCTCGCCGTGTCCCATGCTTAAATATCACAAGTACCCCCTAGTCCAAGGCCATCGCACGGAAAACTATAATCGAAATCCGGGTAAGATATGCACTTCCTCGGGAATAAAAAAAAAAACCGATATACCATTACTTATCTCATTTTAATCTCATTATAAGTAGATAATGAAACCCAAAGACACTAAATATTTAAATCTAAAATAAATTCTCATACGCACTACTGAACAGATCCTTAATGTTGATGTCATGTATTTTGATACCAATTTAACCCGTTGCGTTCTTCAAACACTGCGTTATTGCATTTTTGAAGGAATTTATTTTTCTTCTCTCAATCATTCTCCATTCCTCCACGCTACTTACCACGCCTCTTTAATCCATTCCCCACACAATTTTCTTCATTAGAATAAAGCTACTTATACAGACTAAATTTAAGGGTTGAAAACAAGTATTTAAAATTTCCAACGTGGCATCCTTTTGGAGGGAGGAAACGTAAGGTACTGTGCTTCAAAATGCAATTTTATCTCTTTTCTTTCAATTACACATGCTTCATTAAAATTATATTTCACGTAAATAAAAAAAATTTCCTTATTTTTGATCCACACATTCTCTATCGATTTACTATTCTACAATTCATTTTTTCATAAAAATGTGTGCCAACCACCATGGTTTCAATAATATAATAAGTGGGGAGAATTTGAATAAACGTAAATATCTTTTCCAAATTAAAAATTCCAGATAAAAATTAAATTTTAAATTGTTGTATAATATATTCACAACATTTCGTGTCCCACTTTTCATTTTTAAAAATACAATCTAGTCATCAACCTCATTAAATTATTTCATGTTAATTTACTTGGAATTGACAAAATTCAGTAACAATCTTCATCCATTCATTCAGAGGAATGTTGAAATACTTAAAACATACAGATTGACCATTCGAGTTTGCATGTAATTTTCCACAAAGCAATTGGTTAAACCTATTAAAAATGTAACAATTATTTTTATAAATTAAAAGAGCCAAAAACATTCATTCATTTCTTTCATCCCCATCGACCACGACCATTGATATGACTCGAAAAATTCAGATCCAAAAATCTATTCTAATCGATCCCTAAGACCTTCTTATATGCTACGTCAAATTTTAGAGGTACGTCGAATTAGTAAAAATTCAAAATCTATTTTGTCATCAAACAGTGACAATTGTTTTTTTCTCAATTGGTACTGCAGTCACGCTTGGTGCGACATCAACTATTTGTGGATCTCTAACTTAATTTTTCAGGGCATTTAAAATCAAGAAAACTTATTTTCCAATAATGGAGAATTAGATTTTTTAGAGACAGATTACAGCTGAGAAAAAATTATTCTAAAACTCGAAGCTTTCAAATCCCATTCGCAACGTAGAAAAAAGAAGAGAAATTCATAAAAACGTGTTCTATATACTTGCTCTAGTTTTTTTTTTTTTTTTCTATGAAATTTTTTATTTTATAAACCCCCCCCCCCACCCCCAAAAAAACCCCGTGTGACTTCACCCCCATTTCATGGCCATTATTTTGGGAAAATGGAATTTTAAATAGTAACTTTTTAGAAAATGTATAGTTCCAAGTAAATAAAAGTTCTAAAAGATCTCCCCCTTCAATGAGTAGACCGGTTTCAGAGAATGATGAGTTTTGAGTTCACGTGCAAAGTATTTTATTGTATAAACGTGTGATTGAAAATAACGACAAGAATTAAAGAGTTTTGAAATAATGATTGTCAAGCAAGGACTTAATTTCATAGTATATCTGACGTTTTTAAAGTCTATCCTAAAAGGAATATCAAGACTTCACAAAATAGGGTCTCAAATTATCGATGAAGCAACGTCAAGGGACAGATGGGGACAAATATTTCATGAAACTATGGAAAAGGGAAAGGGATTCAGTTCTGTTCTATGCTTTACGGCTATGCCTGAACATGTTTTCTGCCATATGACCCATGTTTCAGCCTCGTCTAAATCTAACACTATATATCAAACGTCTTCTAAACTTATGCTGACTTGGGGACAAAACGTAACAAAATGGGATACAAATGTATGAAAAGGATGACATAGACTCAATGTATGACTCATCATGTGTAGCTAAATCAAATATTTTGTAAGGAAGTTGAAACCTGCAAGTTACAGCATCAAGATTTTGTTGCTGAGTTGGGTATGACTTGAGAGATCCTAAGAGAACTAGAAGAATTGCGTAATGTCCATCTAAAATGTAGACCTTAGCTCCCTTTTCAAGACTAATTGACATTTCTCTATAAAGTTTATCCATTCCCAGTTCCTTCTTTGCATAGAAAAGTGATTATTGACCATTCCCAATAAAATAACACTAGTTAGCAACTATAACACACAATCAAAATATGAAAAATAAGCAGAAAATATAAGTTAAAGATTTTGCAATCCTAATACACCATCTACCATGAATTGTCCTTAATTAACTATAAGTCAGGTAAATCATGTTATACAATGCAACAAAGAGAATATAAGAACACAAAATAGCTGATAATGAAACTAAAACGTTTTAAAGGCTTCACCTGATTTATATTCATTACGAGAGCCCAAAAAAAAAAGGTTTTTAACTAGATAGTTCCCAAACTTCCGGTTCTGTTATTATACAAGTAGAATGGCTCACAGAGTAACCATCAGGTTTTATAAGAATGTGGAAATGAGATAAGGAATAGCAAAATTTTTAATCTGGGATGAAGTTTAGCAATCAGATGATTGAAAGAGCTGTGGAACCAGAAAATTTGGACACGACAAATTACAAGTCGTCTAAATAATCAATCAGGCATCTTCAAATATGCCCAAAGACAATTATCGTTCATATAAAAGAATCTCAAGTTTCCTTATTTTCACAGCTATTAGCTGCTCAAAAGGGGGACAAAACTTGAAAAAAATGAAAAGGGCTCTGACTGGAGTATGACAAATCCACACAAGGATGTTTTCACTTTGAATGGAACCTGCTGCTAACCGCATCATAACTTGGAACATAAATAACTGTAATACAGAGTTAAATAGGGATAAAGAATGCTGAAATGTCGTGTAAAAATGAATATCAATGGCGAAAAGGACTTCGTTAGGACAAAGTTGTTACCGTCTCCATAAGATGCCATTGTGAGAGGAGATGATAAAAGCTTCTCTGCAGCGGAAGCTATATCCTTTGCTGTAATTTCATCTACAGCCTTCAAGAAATGCTCGACTGGTTTCCTGAAGATGCAAAAGCAAACAAATTTTATATTAGATTTTGTTACTGAACCTTCAGAATTTTCTTGGAGACATCAATCAAGCACCACTTTCAAATTGCGTTTATATTCTAATTTACCATTTCCTGATGGTAGTCCAGAATTTATCACAGAACACAATAACCTACTATACAATGCATTGACCAAACAGTTTTAAAAATTTAACCTTGCTGAACCTTGTCCTCAATTATTCTCACATGTTCTCATTATCTTATCCTTCCTTACATGGCCATGCATCCATTTCAACTTCAACATTTTCATTTTCTCTACATTCATCTTATGAACATTGTCCTTTAACAACTGAGCATCAGTACCATAAAACATAGCTATTTAATCACCATTTTGTAAAACTTGTCTTCTAACATTATATTTATCTTTCTACCACGTAGAATCCTAGTAGCACTTCTCCATTTCATGCAACCCATTGTGATCATACGCATTAATCATTCTCAAGTCCTTGTGATTAATTGAACACAAGCACCTTGTACACTCACTTTTTGAAATAACATTGATCTCCTTTCTATACTTCACTATCATCCTTATTTCCTCAATAACTAAGATGACACTTCATGTATTCATCTTAATTCCGCTAATATCTAAGACATTTAAATTTCAAAGTACAGCTACAAAATTCTAAATTACAATTTAACTCCTTCAAGTTTCATCAACTAAAACTCATAATCACCGAACACTGACCAAGTTGTCTCATATGGGTATGTAATATAAGTTCATCCATTACTTGAGTGAAAAGGTAAGGACTTAGCAGACCTTATGAAAGAAGCATAAAACAATAAACAAATAAATAAATCTAGTTTTGAATTAAATAATGTTTCTAAATCTTCATATATTTACAAGTTATCCTTTCAATTTGAGGTGAGAATTATAAACGGAGAAGAAGAAAGAATGTTATACAGGTAAAGGTCTACAAGTTTATATCCTGGGCAAGCTACTTAATAACATGTCATCATATGACAAAATAAAATAAAATTTACTATACTGGTTCAAATAACACCGACGCCATTAACAGTCACCACCACAACACTAAGACCCCACGGTAGAAACCAATCTATCACCAAAGGGGAAAGCAGGTAGCACGTCCAGTCTACCACGATTTTCACCACAAACATTGCCAACACCACCAACAAAACCGATGAAACCATCAACATAGTAACAAACACAATCCAACATCTCTTACTATATTAGCGCTCCAAGCCTTCAATCATCTTTACAGCACCATAATAAGCCAACAGCATGGCCATCAAAAGAATCCTTAAACCCTGACCAAAACACCAGCATCCACTCATTATCTTCGACATGCTCTTGTAAGTTTGAATTTACTTTACTTGAACTCTCAAATGCTTATGCAATTCAAAGCAAATGCCATATAACTGGGAAGGATAGATAAACTCTCAGATTCATTTGGTAGCAGCTACACTTGATTCAGGTGAATTGAGGTCTCAAAGGTAGCAGTGAAGTTCTGGCAATGGTTTTACAAATAGTGAGAGGTGGTGTATGGAGGAACACATGTTGACATATTTGCCGGTTAGGATGTATTTCTGATCCTTGGTGGAGGATCTCCTGAGCTCTTCCAGGAATTCGATAACACTTCAATCAGTATACGAAGACAAAGTCACTTTTTTATGCTATCTGTATTGTTTCCATAGAGGGTACAGTGGGAAAGGAAATATCTATTCTATTAAGCAGTTATTTCTCGGAAAGCTTCAAAAGGGAAAAAGTAAAACATTCAATTTAGGACTAAGTTGCAAATGTTTAAAAATTTCTCCATTTCCCAAACATTCCTACAAAGTACTGATTAATACAAAATTCTTTTCAGCTAACGTATTTAATGATCTTACCTCCCTCCATATGTCAAAATCTGTTTACCTATGTCTTCTGAAGCAACCATCTGTAACAGACATGTAAACAGTAAACACATGATACAAGTTGCATACTCCTGAACTTCTAATAAAAGATAATATTTTGAGTTTTTTTTTTTTTCCTTTAGTTCCTGGACAGAATTTAGAGCTAAAAGGGTGTAAGAACATGTTGCATACTCTGGATTCCAGGTTCATCAATATAGCAGACTTTGTCGCTTGTTTAGCACGATTCAGCTGTACCTGGTCAACTGTTGGAGAACAGGAAGGGACAAAGAAATTGAAGAACCAACTTTAGAACAACTTTAAACAAGTGACATGTCTAGATTTACCATCAGGAATATTTTTTGAAGAGACCTATTTGGAATATTTTGCTACCACTTTGTAAACCTGAATGTCAAATGCACATGGGCACGCAAGGTGTTGTTTGTTAATTTTTATCCATTGATGGAAAAAGACGATGGGGAGGGGCTAGAAATATGTTGGGAAGTTTTTCCAATGGATAAAATATTTATTCATGATACAAGAATATGAAGGATGTTTCAGGATCAACGGACTTCAGAATTCAGAAACAAAATTATGTGAACAGATAATAAAAAAGCTCCAAACAAAATACAACAGTACTCGAGCTTAAAAGCATATAGCACACCTTCTCCTGGAGTCGCAACCGCAATGAGTTCTTTAACTGCTATGTCAATTGCTTTTGTTACAAAGTCGGAACCCTGAATTTAAAAAGGTAAGCTTCATCACTGAGCTATCCAATAAATACTCAACAAAGAGAATATAAAGGTATAAACTGGTCAAATAGATTTTCATTTTTCTTTTTTCCTTCCGTTATAATCTACCATTGTTCCGTTAAACAGAATCGCAATATTCACCGGGAAAACAAATACTCGGTAAACAATATACATAAGTTTGTATCAATGTTAAATTAAACCCCTTAAAATGAGTTTCATTAATTTAAAAGGGATGGAGTGCAGCTGGAGATAGCGATTTCCAGATGATAGATTTTTAAATCCAATATACAAAGAACTGTGGAATTACCTAATCAATCATGTTCATTACAATTTCCATCTTTAAATTTATTTCAAGTATACTGAAACAAAAAATCAGGAACAATACATTAAACCACTCCAATAAAGAGGGCAGTCCATGCATCAGCAAAATCATGTTAAAACACCAAACTAATTACTAACACGGAAATACTAGATCTAAAACCCATTAAAGTTTTAGGTAGATCATTATTAAAAAAAAATTAACCAAAAATCCAACCACATTATAAATGGACACCATGAATTCTGCAAGTAAAAGCTGTCTAAAAATACGAAGTGTTCCCAAAATTATACAGGTGCCTTACAGTGGTAGCTTGAATTCCAAATAATCCAGTATGATTGTAAATGCTGTTGAATGCAGAAAATGACTGAATCTGGGGATATTCATTCAGGACTCGGAGATCTGCAGACCATCCAGCAATTAGCAGATGGTAATCAAGATGCAGAAGAAATGAGAATACAAAGTGCAAAATCAAGCCTAGAACTTCTGTAATAGCAAGCATAGATTAATTAAGAGATGCAATAACTGTTACTAGTTATTGAACCAATGCGTATCTTTTAGCTCCATTGTGTGAATGCAGACAGATGTCTGTTCTTAGTTCTTACATATTTGTAGTAGAAATGAACATTATACATATGTAGACAGAAGACAGTGTTTCCTTTCTTCAAGAATCATATTTACCTACTACACTGATTATGTATAATAAAGGAAACTCACATAGTCTAGAGTACATCCCCTTCCCAGGACCACCAGCTGAGAAAGATCCACCTCCTCCCATAAGCATCTATTGGATCAATACAATCAGTATATCCTTACAAGATGGCTTTCGAACAAAACCAACTCATAAAGAAATGAGAACGAACAATACAGAACAAGCAATTGAGTAATCTATAGTTGACTGATGGAGTCAACAGAAGAAAGAAATTTAAGCATATAATTTGTTAAGCCAAGCGTCAATCCATGGTAAGTACAATCTTATTTAAGGTTTGTAATCACTAAAGAGAAGAACCTGGAGAACTGTCAAAACTATTGAATCCTTTTCCTTGACCCAACCACCAGGAAGTTCAAAGGCAAGAGCGAAATGGGTTGTCTGCCCAAAAGTCGGAAAAGAAAATTTATTGCCATATTTCAGATCAATGTTCAGATATGTGTGCAACGAAAAACACATAAAAAATGAAATTCTGATACGCACCCCTGAATCAGCTTGATGACGATAATCACCCCCTACATAAACTGATTTTGGCTCAGTAGGACGTGGTACATTGGGAAGGTCAGATAGAAGTGGTTCAGCATATTTTAATAGCTCATCATTGTCAACACCTGATGCAGCAAGAACCATCCGAGAAGCAGTATAGTTTTCCTGTACAACGAAAATACCATTCAGGAGAAGAATGACTGTTCAATATCACAGGACAGGGAATGTAAAGGGGTAGGAGTCCCAAAAAGTAGAAAGGACGGTAAAAGTAAAAGAACAGAAGATAAAGGTTTGGGTCTCACAGCAACAAAATCCTCCAAAACTGCACTGTTCAATCTATTCACCACGGATTCTGAAGCCAAAAGAGCATTCCCATAGGGACCAGAGTAACCAGCTGAATGAATAGCCTCCAAAAGCAAGTTCTGTGGGTTTTTAGAGCATTCGCTAACCTCTGCACTCACCTTATGGAGCTGTAATGAACATTGCAATATTTATTAACGCATTCAAAAGAGCAAAAAATGAGCACTGACTCCATATAAGACAGATAAAATTACCTGTTCGCTAACCTCCCAATCCAGAAAAGCAGGGTTCCTCACAGAGTCAATCAGGAGCTCTACCATTTGAGGAACATAGGTCTTCAGAGCATCACAGGTGTAACCCATATGTTCCCTAGAGGCAGAAGCCATGACATTGCCACCAATTGACTCAACTTCTCTAACAACACACAAGTCGCTCCGGTTGGTAGTACTTTTGAAGGCCATACGTTCCAGGAGATGTGTGGCACCAAATGACACTGGAGTTTCATATATTGAGCCACAATCGACATATAACCCAATTGAAGCTGCTGGGTTCTGACAAACAAACTCAGCAATCGCTACTTTGTTCATAGTAACAATATATGCAGTTCTTATTCTTTTCAAATGAAGAGAAAAATATGCAGCATGTTTGGCTAGCTTAAAATGTATTTATAAGAACCTTTTAAGCTTAGCAAACATACTAATGATTATCACATACCGCAGATGTTTCAGATGCAATTTTGAGGCCATTGGGAAGAGTCGTTATAGTGGTCTTTCCAGGCTCAACAAAATCAGGCAATGAAGGTGGAAGTGTAACATCCTTAAGTGGGAAGTCTAGAGGAGGAAGTGACGAGGAGTGTTCTCTAGTCAACCAGCTAAAGAAACCCCCTGATGATGTCTTGGTTGCAACGGCACTCGTACTTGCAAATCTAGTCAATCGCCTATTACTGGTTCGGTCCTACCACACGATCCAATGTTTTAAAAAATAATAATAATAAATAAAATAAAATAAAATTCAAATCAATGAGACCATGTGATAGTTAAAAATTCTAGCTAGGATCAGGAATGTCATCCTGCAAAAATCAATTGTCCAATTTAAAAGTACGAGACTCTGCTATCATATATGGAATCCAAAGAATCTTCATTATACCCTAAACCAACTTTTTTTCCCGAATTACAACTTCGTGTTGCAACCTAGCATATGTGCTGTGCACCTCGTTCAAATAAATCCCAAAGTTTCCAGTTTTACAGTAGCAAATGAACCATACAAAAATTTCGTACTAAATATAATACATTTTCATAAAAAAAAGAATCAAGGCAAAATTTCATTTTTACCACAAGCAACAGCATGTTAATTACAAAGTCACATTAAAGAATACATCAATCATCGAATGTGAAAATTACACGAGTGTTATTTCATGAGCGACCAACATCAGATCCAAATAACAAATAATCGATATATACAAATACATAATAACGTCGATATATAAAAGCATATGTATACATTTGGAATACTAACCTTGAGAGTCCTGAGGCGAGAAGCTGCGGTTCTATACATGGCGATGATTTGATGAATTGTACTAGTGAGAAAATGAGGGTTAGGGGATTTCAGCTCAAGGCTGACTGTGCTTTTTCTGGTTTCGGGGTTTGAGGAAGGAGTGTACGCCGAACGAGGATCATATCACGTGCGAGAATTTCTCCCTACGTGAGAGTTTTAAACCCTTTGGATCAACGGACGTAGCCTGATCTATGGCTTCAATCATTGGCGCGAATTACTTCAAAGTTCCAATTCAACCTTAATATAAAATAAGCCCCTATTTATTTGTCATTCTTTCCTTATTAAAATAAAAAATATAACCGTTATTCATCACATCAAGTCATTAATTTTGAATTTCTTTCTCTTGTATGGGACTCATAACGACCATATTTTTCATTCTCATTCTTATGAAAATGAGAAACAGACGAGGCCTAAATATATATTAAACTCTTGTTTGATAGAATTTATTTGAAAATAATGAGTTATTGAATAATATTTTTTGAAAAATGTGTGATTAAAAAATAAGAAAATTTTATTGATTTATATGTAAAATATTTTAATATGTGTAGCAAACAATTTAAGTTTTTAAAGAATTGACAAACTGGGCTTAAATTTTGATATGTTTGAATAAAAATTAGATTTTGCTTAGAATATATTAATAAAAAATTAATGAATGTATGTTTAAAAAATTGATAAAAATTATGAATCCTATAAATATAATGTATGAAAATGAGTTTGACAGAAAAATGAATTAAAAAAAAATGGGCAAAATTTGGGAGTATATAAGTCAAATGTTTTTAGAAAAATATATTTAAAAAATGACTTTAAAATTAACAAATTGAAAAAATACAATTATTAAAAGTATGGAGTATGTTGTAACTATTTGAGAATAATATCCTATAAATATGGAATATTTTGATTCTTGGTCCTGTTTAGTAGAAATTTTTTAAAATTTATTTTCTTTCGACCAAATCTTAATCGCATATTCTTAATTCTATACGTGGACCCATAAATATTTATTTATTTATTTTAATTTTTAACTGCACATTATGGTGAACTTTTCACAAAATCTATTTAAACCCTATTTGATACTCCATATTTTCCATGGAAAATGGAAAATTTCCCACCATTTTCCAAGTTTTTGCCTGTTTGATAGGTAATTTTTTCTTGGCATTTGGTTTTCTCACTTTCACTCACGTGACCCTCTATTCCACGAAAATGAGGAAGTTCAATTCCCATGATTGAACTAGTTTTTCATTTTCTAAGCAATTGGAAGTGAAAGAAACCCAGTTAAACATGCCAAACCCTTCCCTTTCTCTTTCTTCTCACACTATTCTCCCATCCCATTTTTCACGCAGAACCACCCCACTGTTGAAATACCGGCGATGTCGATCCAAAAAATCTCCACATAATCCATACCAACGATGCACGCTGTTTGATTCTGATCTCGTATCTCTGTTTTTCCCTTCGAAATCTCGAATTTGGTATGTACTACATAAATATAATATTTACAAGTGGTGTATACCTTCTTCTTTTTTTTTCCTTTGAGAGTTGAAGAGTTGGGTAAATGCTTTCTCTCTCCTTCCTATTTCAAATTACATATGGTCTGCTCTTATTTCATTTTTTTCTTCTTCAGTTCGTAGATTCTTACGAACCATTGTGATTAGTTTCCAAATTAGGATTTGTAATTTGCTTCTATGTTAGATTTTAGGTGTTTTAGTCCTACTTTTTGGAATGGCAATGTATTGACGAACCTGTTATACACTTATCTTGTTAATTATATTTTAAACCGACTATCAACCATTTCACTGGGTAACCTTTTGGAATTTCATTTTTTTTCTCGTTGTGTCTTTTTCCTTTTACATTTTTGGGTTTAGGAATTCAATTCTCACCTTTATAATTTCATGTGGACAAGCACATATATGCCCATGAAAAGAATTAGGGATTCTGAGCTTCAATTTGATGGATGATTATATATGAAGTATGAGCTTGTTTTGGTCAGAAATTTGCAGATTGTTGTAGGTTTTTGACAAAGAAGATGATGCAACTAGTGCATTAACTGTACTAAAGCCGGAGCCCGACACACAAAAAATAGTGGAGTGAGAGGTTACTATTTTGTTAGTAAACTTTTCACTTAGCTGGACATTAGGTATTTGGTTATTTGGTGTGAGACTTCAGTTTTTAACATATGTTGTATATTGTTTTTATTTTGGTTCAACTTGATATCGTTTAGCTTACTTTTGAAAACCAATTGTTAACAACAGAGAATGAGGGGTACTATGGCTAATATTGAATTTGTGTTCCAACTAGAAGAAACGTATTACGTGACTTGAGTACGTGCATTTCACTACTTAGGCAGAATATCTTTCTGGCAGCCTATTGAATTTGCAAGTATTAGATGGTTCTTTTGTATATTTTCAAGTGTCTAACCGTGCTTCTGGGTCATATCTTTTAATGCATCCCATTGACTCCACAATAGTCTCGTACTTTACTTACAGGTCCATTGGCTACAAGTTTAATTCGAACTGAAGTTTAATTCAAAGAAATTCATGTATGCTTACCATTAAAAATGGATCTGCTTTTGTTTAGTGTTGAATTTAAAATATAGATTAAGCAATTATTGTTGCCCCTTTAACTTAATCTGGATCAATTAAAATATAGATTAAGCAATTATTGTTGCCCCTTCAACTTAATTTGGATCGATTTTGTGTATGTCTGGATCGATTCGCTTGATTAGTCTACTTTTCATATATGTTTGTGTACGTCAATTTGAGCATTGAAATATCATTGTCTACTTCAACAGTTGTATCCTTTTGGCCAATTAGGGCCATATAAATTGCATCATTTTAAACTAAGTATTTCTGTCCAAAATAATATGCACGGTCTTTGAAATGTAATTATGCTTAGACTTAGTGGAGATATTTCCCTAAAAAAAATGTAATCGAGCTAATCACATGCAAAACAATGTGAGGGCCCATTTGAAAGAATTATTTTACCTTTATTTTCTACCATTGTTTCGTAAAATTGTTATTTAGTTGTGGGCTATCCTTGTAGGAAATACGTTGAAAATTAAAATCAACCAATAATTACAAGAAAAATATACAATTATAAATTTATACTATTGATCTATAATAACTAAAGTAAATATGAAAAATAGAAAATTTTCTTTTTACGTTTAGGCTCGTAAGCTTGAGTGTTGACCTTTATGTCTTGTTAAACAATTTAAAATCTTTGTTGGGTTTTTTGATACCCAATAATTCGGGCGATGATTTAAAACAGTTGTCGGATTATTTATCGACACTATGGACTTGGTTCGTCTCAGAGACGAACTACACTTTTGGATGGCTCGAGTTTGGGTTGGATGATTATTTGGTTAGTTAGACCATTTAGTGATTAATATGGAGTTGGAAATTGGCCCATTAGTTTAGATTATATGACAGTCCACTTAGAGATCTCTTGACCCATATTTGGTGACCTAAACTAACCTATATATATGTATTTATCTCCCAACCGTTTTGGTGTGTGTGTGTGTGTGTGTTGTAGCAATGGAGAGGAGAGTTGAGAGGAGAGAGGCAGCCGAGAGAGAGGGAAATCATGTGAGGTTGTGAGTAAGATTCAACCATTGTGATATCTCATTCTTCCTCTCCATACCTTTGTGGATTGCTAACATCACCACCATTCTCCTTTTGTGGGGTTTGAGAGAGCTTGGACAGTCCAAAGTGAAGGCGAAAACCTTGAGTCGAGTCGAAATAAACCGGTGTTCATTTGATTGTTTTCTGAGCCTGGAATTAAAATTTATCGAGGGATTTCCGCTACAACCTTGATATAGACAATTTAGCTAACTCTACAAATTTTTACCCTATTACCAATGGCAAAGTGAAAATTTTCCTTTATCAAAGAGGATGGCAAGTAATTTTCTAGAGGCAAGGTGAAATAGACGAAGGATTAAAAATTTCACCTTTTTTGCCCACTTATTTTTTTCAAAAGGTTGATCTTACTAGACCTGACCAGACAATGAAGGTATTTTTATGAAATAAAACTTAATTTGTTTATAAAATACAAAAATATATTTTAAAAAAAAGGAACATGGCTTCGGGTCCCCTATTCCTTGGATGGCAAAATGTGCATATTGACCATGTGTGGTTTAGAAGAAAAATAAAAGTTTTCAACAGATTTTGATAAAAATTTGATGAAATATGTAATTAAAAAATTGTAAAATTAATGAAATATATAGATCAAATTATTTTTTTATTTTAACTTAAATTGTATCAATTTTTGTAGTTGAATCAAATAGGAATTCCTTGCAAAATGGCTATCAAACACCAATAGTTGGAAAATAAATACAACTTTCATGGAAAGTGATGTCAATCAAACACCAAAAGATGGAAAATTTCAACATTTTTCAGGTGAAAAATTTTATTAATCAAACACATTTCATTGTCATTTCACAGGAAAATGATTTCTAAGCAATTCAATTTCCTGGAATTCGTTTTCTTTTCATCCAAATTTCATCTTTGCAATCAAACGATTCCTTAGTAAAATCTACATCAAATAACCTCTCAATAAATTATACACGTGTTTCAACTCTTTTTCAATTATCTAATATTATTCTTTCTTTTCTCTTAATTTTAGACTCAACGTGAATTTTAGCAAACTTAGTTATCCAAAAGTTATTCCTCCTTGTTTTCGAAGATAAGCACAGAAGTCTAACCAAATGATCAATATATTATTCTTTTTCGTCCAACAAAATGAGTAGATCTTTTAACATTATTTTCATATCAACAAATCAATATAAGTTATTTGATCTGGTAATCGTTTTGATTATATCGATTTATGATATATATACATATATTTGCTTGAATGTATTTTATTACCTCGTACCAATATTGCACAAGAATAGTATATTTCTACTCTTACAAAATTATCAAGTTATAATCAAGAATATTGTATTATTGTTACAAATTAATACTCCAGAAGATTATTGTGTTGTTGAGCACAACTTCAAATATCAATATTTATAAGAACGTTTTATTGCTCATGAAGAAAAACAAATATAATATAATATATCAATGTTTTAGAAAAACAAAATATTATTTCATTGTTCATGAAGAAGCTTAAAATTTACTACTATTCTAGAAAAATATAATTGTTTTTCCTCGAGAAACACAATTTTATAATTTATTAATATTCTAGAAAAATACTTCATTTTTGCTCCCGAAGAAACACAACTTATATTATGTTAAGCATTTACCATTGTTTAATTAAGATTCATGCATAGATAAACAATACACATATCAAATAAATAATAACAGAAAAAATGAAATTTTCAATATTCTTTGTGAGTTTTGTAAATTCTCTCAACATGACTAACTAATTGTATACCTAAAAAAAACAATTTATCAATTCATAAAACAAATGTTACAACACTAATCATTTTCTACATAGGAAACAAACAAATTCCTATCGTATTGTAGGACACTACTATTCAATTCATAATCAACGTGGGACAATGCCAACAAATTCTATTGGTGAAATATCGAGCACTGATGATTCTTTTGAAAGATCCATTGATGTTTTAATCATAACAATTGTAAAATGTTATAAAGTCCCGTTTGATAATATTGATAATGGAGTCATGAAACATCATAGTATAAGATCTTATAAGGAAAAAATTACGACATTTTCAATTATTCTTGATTTCCTATCTGTCCTGCATAAGCACCAACATGGCAAATTTATTTTAAGGGCATAGAGTCAAAACTCATGTCACACTCAAAATTTAATATCGTGTCTGCAACACCTGGCCAGCAAGCCAGGAGATAATTTGTATAGATTTATTAAGGGCCAACAACCTTTTTAGGGACACAGCTATTATGGTACCCAACTTTAGTAGTCACTCAACTTCGTAGAATTAAATTTGTTGTCATTTTATCAGTGTGACACATTAAGAAAAATGACTTTTTATAACGGACAGAAAGTGTAGCATTAGAAGTTTAGCAAGTGCACTTGTATGTCATGTCCCACGATGTTGTCGAAAAATATAGATGGCTATGAATAGTGTCCCTTGCATAAGACAACGGAACGGAGGACATGTGATTTGGCAACATTTTAACATTATCATCATCCACACTTTTGTTTAATTTATTTACCAACAAAGCACTTGTCGATGATCAACAAGAGGAAAACAATATAGGCAAAAAATCGAAAAATCAACAAAGTGAAAGCACATTACATTGAGAACAAAAGAACCCCTACAAATCTTGAAAGAGAAACATTTACAACATGCATTTCTTGTTTACATCAAATCTTGAGTTAACTGAGCAAACACCACACTGCCTTCTGCTTGCCCAAAATATTTATTCCATGTATTTTGCCAGAGTTTTCACCATCTAAGTTTGTCTGGGAAGTACTGCAGAAAAGGAAAATTGCTGCATCTTAGCATGGAGAAAATCCAAATGTGAAAATTCACTCTAAAAATAAATGGCCAAAAGGCACCTACCTTTTCAATGAGGGAAAGGTAGTATGGCTTTACTTTTTCAACGTCAACACGAACTTTGCTCTTACTGTAAAGGTCATATTTGCTGCAAATAAAAATTTAAAGAGAATTCAAAATGTTAAACTCGATAGACTCAACTACGCGTACGCTGCAGCAAAACACGACATTAATGAGCCAAAGATCGTGCAGGTTTTAACAAAGTAAATAAAGAAAGTTTGAGAAAAGGGTTTTTACTTGAATATATTAAGCCACTTCAAATTCTCTACATCTTCCTCATTCATCAACTGTGTATAAGCTCCAGCCTTGTGTAGAGCTGCATATAATTATTACATCTCAGTCACACTAGCTAGAAATTAAATTATATGCTTAATTAGTTAATGTATTAGATTCAGAACTTACGATAAAAAGAGTGATAACGGATGATAAACAATGCAGCCGAAGGCAGCGTCGTTCTATTTGCTTTAGCTACCTGAAAATAATAAAGACGTGGCTATACATCAAAATTAAGAACGATGGCATGTTTGTTATGCTCGACCGATAGGACAACGCTAATGAAGAGGAAAAAAAGTTAAAATCTTGTTTGTCGTTAATTACCAAGTACATGTAGTCATCATGTCCCCAAGACATCACAACATTTTCTAGTCCACATCCTTCTTGGTAAATTCCATTCTTAGTGGTGTAAGCAGGGTTCTTGGAATCTGGATTGTCCTCAAAATACTGCAGCTAATTAAGAATATTTTCATAAGCAAAATTTAGGGTTTGCAATATATAAAAGATGGGGTAAAATTGATCAAGAATTAATTACTTTGTGGTGAACAATGGATTCATCAAATGCACAGCCAAGTGGGAATGTGTCTCCTGTGATTTTATAAATTTAGTTAGTCACTCGAAATAATAATACTACGTTATAAGAATTTTGACTATTAAAATTCAATTAATACTCACCAACAACAGCCCATTGAGGGAGCTCTCCGAACTCTGGAAGAAGAAGAATTTTTCCAAGATCTGCAGCCAATATAAAAAATAAATAAAAAATAAAAAGAGAGAGAGAACTTTAGAATACGAAACTTGTTCTTGACACGGTGCATGGCAAGATAACGATGAACTTGGTCTTATTAGAATATTAGCTGGTATATACCATGAATAAGGCCAGTCAAATGCAACCAATCTTCATTAGGATAATCTTTCCTAATTGCTTCTGCTGTCTGCAATAAATGCTCAATCTGGGGTTCATCCAAATCAGGATCGCTATCATCCACAACATTATTCAAAAGTTCACAACATTCCCAAATGCTCATCTTTATTTTGTCCAGTTTTCCATATTCTTCCCTCATTCTCTTCACCTGCATACAATATTCACAATTATTTCCATGTCAAAATCGAAGGTCTTTTCACAACCCGAACCTTGTTGTTTAAGGAAATTTTTAGTACTTACATATTCACATGTTTGGCTGATGTGTTGCAATCGATAAAACTCCTCGACTGACTTTTGTCTCTCACTTTCTGCATCATAATCCCTGTCGGTCAAAACTTTCGAATCAGATAAAGAAAACCCTTAAAACTTAAAAAGCAATGTTTGGTATCCAATTCATCTTACTGAATATGCCATAAACGAACATAAAAACTGAGTTATAGTAAACCTAAATGAATGACCATATGAGTTGATTTCAGGGGCTTCAAATCCACATTCTGATTCCATTTTGGGCATGAAAAATCCTCCATCCAACACGAGTTCATTTGTGTCAGAAATAATTTCCTTTTCTCCCACTGCAAAGATTAAGAAAAAACCCGTTTTAATCCTAAACTCGAGGGTTCTGCACATTGCAGGACTTAACTAAAACCAACAGCATTAAACACATAAAAACACACAATTCTGTACATGCAGCTTCTCTCACACACAAAATGTACCTAGATCTGCAGGCTGCTCGATAAGAATGGTCATATTCTCTTCAAAAAGAGTTAAACTAAACAAAATACAGAGAAATACAGAAAGAATGAATGAATGAATATGAATTCAATGTGTGAAGGATTCTGAGAAAAGTGAAGGTATTTATAGTACTGTAAACGAGTCCTTATCTGATAATTAGAATGTTTCATGTCCTCAACTGATAATCTATTTCGGGTCCTTAACTGAAATATCTGAGTTTCTTCCGGCCGTAAACTAAACACGCTGACGGTTCTCACAACCCACCATAGCGCGTGAGATACAACCTTTTCAGATATATCGGCATCTATTCCATAAAGCTAAATTTCATACCCTAGAATATTCTTAGTTCTCCGTCAGATATTTCTTGTGTCGATAGAATTCATCTTCTTACCAGTTTAGATAGGATTTTATTCAATTATCTGATTGAGTTCATTTTCGTATCAATTTAGACAAAAATTTAAGATAGCATTTTCTGTATCCATTTATTATCCACGAAAATTTTAAATCACTTTGACAATTATTTAAAATGTACTAATCTTATTTTCTTATCCAATTCTATTAACTCAATATTTTTTTTTTCATTTCTTAACTTTGAAATCTTATCCCCCAATTAAGCGAGTTCGTAGAAGTTATATAATTTTTGTTTTTTGTTTTTGGGAAAATATGAAAGATTGGTTCTAATTCGGTTTAATTTATTATTGGACATCAAACCAATTGATAATGGGTTTCTTGGAGATAGCTTACCTTCTTGGGCCATTGTAGAACGTGTGTTTTCTAGTGTATATAAGTGGCCTAATGACTTGACGTTATCGAAACAAACTTTGAATGTTAAATATCATATTAAAATAGTCAAGGTCAAGATCAATTAATAAGACGATAAGGGATAAGTTTCATATTCGAGAGGGAACCAATCCAAATAATCAGTTAAGGACCCTAAATGATCGCTTAATGATACAAGAGGTATGAGTCTATACGTAGAATTCATATCAATAACAGTAAATTGAACTGAACTGGACTACACCAACTCTAACTCAGGACTATCCCTAGTTGGATTTTAATTAATCAATAGAGTCGAATCGAATCGGGAGGAGAAACTAATTATATTTGCAACATTTGTCTACCTTGCAATTGTAAGACACGCACTTTGCAAAGATTTGCAGAGTGTGCGCGCAATATAGTAGGCTGACTCATCTTAACGTGTGTATCGTATCTAATTTACAGCAATCTTCGGTCCTACTGACGCGGAACTGAGTCACATCCTACCACATTTGACTTGTCTATTCCGTCTGCAAATTCAACGGCTGAGCTGTGCCCTGCAACTTGATGATTATTTATATTTACACTCAATTAACGTTCAGTGTTGCGCCACGTCATCAATCGACTTCATTTATCCAGCAAAATAGGTTAATTTAAGGCGCTCCTATTTTCCACCGATGACCGACATATGTGCCTTGCAAAGATAGGAAAGTGAGTGAATAGGGGATGTGAAATCCAAAAATGATAAACAGTCAGGCTCAAAAACAAATTGACGTGGCAGCAAATTGTTGGATTTTTTTTTTTTTTTAAAATTTGCAAATTCTCCAATCAGGTATCAACACGTGTACAGCCGATTTTTCAACCTGCTGTAGCATTTCTCTATGAAATCAAGATGGAAATTCATAATTTTTTACAACTTGGAATAGGAAAATTTTATTTTATTATCTTTGTAAATATGTTAAATTCTTTTACAAATAATAATAATAATAATAATAATAATAATAATACCGTTGTGTCGCATCAATTATATTGAAACTGAGTCGATGCTAATAAAAATCAAGCCTTGTAATGAAGAGGCTCAAAATTGTCCTACGAAAAGAGATAATATTGAATGTTTCGATTGTGAAATATCAATATTTTGGGAATAGGCATAGATGTTACACTATCAATCATTTAAAAATACTAATTTTACATAACATTTTGTTTAGTTGACTGTCTCTATATAATAATCCCTCTTATTGAGTCTCAAGTCACTAGGAACAAAGATTAAGCCTCATTCGTAAAAGACAGATTCAAAATGGTCCCATAAAAATGTGTATTGTGTGAACATTAACGCTATAGAAATACAAATAATTTGAAAACTAGACAATCTAACGATGAAAAAGGAAAAGAAAATTAAAAACGACGTGAATATCAATCCAATAATAAGTTAAACATCGTATCCTTAAAATTGAGAGCAATATTCGATCAACCGATTGATTCAGTTAATAGCCAAACCTAACCAAACAAACTGATAAATCGTGATCCTCGAAACTCTTTTTTTCCTTCAATATATGTTGACAAGGACAAGAACTTGAACAAAAAGACGAAAGAAAAAGAAGAGAAAAGGATTGCCCTTGTTTTTGCTTTGTGGCAATCAAGGATTTGTCATGACCATTTTTGTTTCCTAGCTTAGATTCTTAAAACATGAATTAGGGATCTTAGCTTAGCATATTTGACTTAAATTTGTTCCATGGAATATACCAATATCTCACAAAATACATTTTTAGCCTTTTGTAATGTAGCGTTAACATTAATCATTCTTGGCCTTGTTTGGTTTAGTTAAAATCAGATTTTTGGTAAATTTTAATAAAAATATTGAAATGTGTGTTTTAAAAGTTGATAAAAATTCTAAATTTCGAGAAATGTATGATTAAAATTAAGTGGTTTAGTCCCATTTTGAAATTCTAATAACGTTAATTATTCAAACCATACATGGGATGTAATATTTCCAGTTTTTAAATTCGCAAAATATAATACAGGAAACTATAATCTCATATAAAAAATTTGCACAATTTTAATACCTTCCAAGTACTTAAAATATTATCTACATATTCAATATTTCGTAAGACTCACAATTATAATCACTTAAATTACAAATTTAAATACCGACCAAACATGACCTAAATACCTGTTATTGATCAACAAGACGATTGGAGAAAAACATTACAGTGAAACATAAGACCTTAACAGATCTGGAAAGATAAACGCTAAACATATGCATTTTCGCCTACATCAAATCCACTTTATCTCGTTCAGGCTGTGCATTCTACTTAATTTGCATGGCTGCTCAGGAAAGAGAAGGCGAATAGATGAGAACAGGATAAACAAGATTGTATCCACCATTGCATCAGAAGGAACTTAGATGAAATCGTCCTAAGGAAATGTTTCAAAGTAGGGACGACAAAAAACTCATTACACCCAATATCCGCAAGACCTTGCCCCGAATTGGACAAAGATTTCCCGCCTAATGGGATGCAACTAGGGTTGTCCCCAAGGGCAGGATGGACACTGGAAACATGGTCCCCGTCCCTTTACCCGCCCCGTTTAAAGCCGATTTCAATATATGAGTTTTTTGTCACACAAAAAGAAAAATATATATATATATATATCATTATTTCTAAAAGGAAACATGGATTGTTCTACAAATTAAAAAATAATAATAATTTTCACCAACTTAAGACATTTAAATATTAAAAAAATTATATATCTGGAACTGTGAAACAGGGTAGGGACTTGCCACGCCCAAGAACAAATGGGCACAAGGACAAGGCAAGAAGACAAAATACCCGATGGATTAGAGGATTGGAATGATTATCCCGACTCGACCCGTTGCCATCCCTATTTCAAAGGTTGTTTAGTAAGCCGAGGTTTATCAATACAAATTTGTAGACGAAGAACAAAATTCAAGAATCTAGGTAGGTAAACATCGATGTACTCATCTTGCATGAAGAGGCTAGACTTAATATCGTGGTAACAACACTGAAACACACGATTTAGTCACTAGCAACGTATGTTATCAACTATAACTAGCACGGCTTATTTTCTTCCTTACTTAATTACTATGGGCCTAGAATACAGGCTTGTTAATATATTTTGGGTCATCAGCCGCTCCACGTGGCTTATGTGGACTCTGGGCCTGGAATACACTTCTCGGAATTTCTTTTGGGCTGTGCAGGAGCTTGTAGGTTCAGCTGTCTTTATTCTACATATTATCAAACATGTTTTTCTTTCTATGATTGTGTTACAAAAAGTACACCGTGAATCACTAGTACTTAGGACAGGTGGTTGGACTTTTACTTTGTCTATGTCAAATCTTTGCATTATTTAGATGCCACTGTACGCATCTAAGATTTTGAGAACATGGCTTCATAAATGCCATGAACAAAATCTCTCCACCTGTACCCTCTAATAGTAATGCAGACTTGTTGAGCTAAATTTATGACTAGAGGGTGTTTGACGTCCATTCTTAAGGAAAAATGAATTTTAGAATAGTAGATTGATGGAAAATGTGTGAATAAAAATAAAGAATTTTTTTTTATTTACGTGTAATATTATTTTAATGAAAAATGTGTAGTTAAAAAGAAGATAGAGAAAAATGTAATTGGGCCACAGATGGGGAACATGAACATTGAAATAAGTCAATATCAAATTTTCGACTATTTGATTGATTGGTTAGTTCGACAATCAAAATAAGTTAGTTTGGCCGAGCAAAAGTTTAGCAGTTGTAAGTTAGAAATGAACCCCATGAACTACGAATGTAGAAATTTTTCGGGTCAATCAGTGATATATCTTGAGTTTATCGAACTTTATTTTGCTTGTATAAAACATGAATTAGGTCACCCAACAAATAATATTGAATAACTTTAATGAAAAATCAATAAAAATGAACGATGAATAATTTGCATATGATATGACTGGCCTTTCCTTTTCCAAATGTCAATCGAATATATGTAACAAGGAAAAAGAAATTTACCAACCACCACAAGAATTTGTGCGAGTCACAATATATCAACGTCAGATTATTACAACCTAGTAAAAGTGGTCCAAAAGTTTACAAAGGTATTGAAATTTTTCAATCAGACAAGTTGAAAAAAAAAAAATTATTGTTTATATTTTAATTGTAATAAAGAATGAATAAAAAATCATTTATGTCATTTTATAGTCTTCTGGTAAATTTTTATATAATAAAAGAAGCAAGAACATATATTTTTTTTTTATTGTCAATCAGTAAATCATTTCACAAATGTCGGTTTTATATATATATAAATTTTGATAATTTTGAAATTGAGATGCAATCTCTCTTCGATTTACTTTATG